TCGATCAGTAAAATACGTTACTTGCTTCAATTTATTTTACACACGTAGAAAAATCTTATAATAAATAATTCCGTATTATAATACTATTAATATTTATTACTAAAATATTAATTATTATTATTATATTAGTGTAATAAGTTTTTCAATATATATGTAATAAGTTATCAAATAACTTATTCTGGTCTATTCGAGGATTTAAAATTATCCAATTTGCAATTTTTAGCCAATGTAAAGCACTAAAATAATGGTGATTACCTTAATAATTTAATCGCCAAAATAGATGCAAAAAAGATTAAAATATTTAAAGTTTGATTTGAAGTTAGAAGATAAATGTGGAACTGTACTGTGGCGTTTCTTCTTTAACAAGTTTTCTCAATCCACTACTGGACTCATTGCAAGAATCGGAACTTAAGATTTGCCGCATAAACACCACGCCGGACTTACCAACCGGTAGGTTGTAGTGAGCGTAGCACCGACACACGCAACGGTGATGTTTTGTATGATGTATTGTGTGTTGTGTGTATTTGATGATGTTGCTCCTCACCTTCTGATTATCGGATTTGGACTCGTTATTTAGCAAGAATTGAGTTTAATGAGTCTGAAGTTCTTGGCTATCGTATTCTTTATTAAATAAATGGCATGGCCCCTAAGCTCTTGTTAATTACGTAATTCAGTAAAATGATTTATTTGAAAAAAAATTAAATAAGTACTCAATATCAATTCTCCCTCCATTTATATCATCCAGAGATTTACAATAACAAATCAAACCTTTGTTGAAAAAGTTTAATATCCTCAACGTAGTAAATACGGGGGAATCACAAAAGGACAATATTAAGCCGCATCATACTGAATTTTTAGAAAATACATTCTTAATTTGAAAACTGAATGTAAACACAATCTTGTAACACGCGACTGGGAATACTATCAGGTTATTCGGAAGCAATTCCTTTGATATACTGATTAATTATGATCAAGAAAATCCCCTAGTATTTTTATTGGGCTATAGTAAACTTATAACAGTAACAAATCTGAGACAGTATTTCACGTTGTTACAGTTCGTCTTAATGTTACATTCATCCTAATTTATGAAAAATAATCTCTGTAAAATAAATATATATGAGAAAGTTACAACATCTTTTGAGGTTTATTGAATATTTCTAAATTACATCCTTCTAGAACAAAAAACAAGTTCAATCAGAGATTAAAATAGCTATTTTTCATATTTTACGAATAATAGATATGTATGTACCATACATATAAATCGCAAATGTAACATATTTTAACTTTGTTTTCATTACTAATAACCTCAGACTTTCTTATGTATACTCTTAGTTAAAAACAATAGTTGTTTTCTGAAATATGTTTAATTTAGTCAAGTAAATAAAAGCTTTAAAAAATGTATAATTTGTGAAAATTAGAAACAAATATTTATTTTGGTAAGTTACAAACACAAATAGTAAAATTCATCGTCTGTTATCATTTATGTTATTTATAAATATTGACACATTTATAAATAACATAAATGTACTTCGTACTTTGGTACATTTACAAGGTACATCGCCTATTTTTCTGTCATCGTATAGTAGAATTTCAAATAATCAATGAAAATTTTTGGGTGTAAAATAAAACTATATAATAGCTAACTTCTTAAACTCAATTTTTATATAACATTATATAAAAATATATACTATAAGTTAATCTAATAAAACCATTATAATATAATATGCATATAAATATATACAATTAAGAATATTAATGCACCATCAAAATTTTATATTTTATTAAAAAGCAAAACTTAAAATTAAATTCATTATTTTAATAATACTGCACACGTGCATCAAATAAAGTAAATTAGTCTATGTTGACATAGATAACTAGATATAGTTTCTCGTTCAAACTTTAATACAACACTATTATATGTGATGTTCATGCATCTATCTCTATAATATTTAAAAGCATATTTTATGTCACAGATAACACTTTCTTCTAATAGGATCTAAATAAATTATCGTCAAGTACATATTGTAAAACAAACAAAGTTAGACATCAACAGAACGAATTTTGAAATTGATACATCGTTGAATGTCAAATGAGCACACTCGGTCGAAATTATGGCGTGATAACTCGAGCCACTTGAACCGAAATAAGCAGACGGGTAAATACAATAAGAAACCATGAGTGTTTGTGTAGAAGCGGAGTTATTATATATATATACACTTCCGGTCACACAAGAATGCATTTCGAAGGACATTCCTAATTCCGGTGAGACATTCAGAGACAATCTCAAGTTTAAATCAAGCTTTACTATTACAAAAATCGTGTAACATAATCAACGTGGCCGGTATAAATAATATAGAAATAAAACAACAGAACAGAATAATTTAGAATAGAATATATTTTTAGTATATAGATCACATGTGTAATTCTTATTGCAAGTCATTTTTTTTTCGGTACCTCTCGTTCGAAAGAAAAACGTCTGTCCTGGGATGAACCAGCAAGAAACCCAGCGGGACCTTTTTTAAATAAATTTTACATTAATGGTTGTACAAATTATTTGCAAAATTTATTTTAGAAACAGCTTGGGAGCGACCACCTCATTCCCAGGGGTTATTATCAATTTATATTATAATAACCCTTTTTTTACAGTTTTTGTTGTATATTTCTATATATTGTATATTTTCTGGGATTTGTTGTAACAGCGTATACATTGCCCCAAGAATGAATTACTGACTCTGTGGAGTCGAGAAACTAGCTTGTTTGTTCGTAGTGTTTACAGTGTATATCACTTTTTTTTACTAAAAGCACTTTTGTTTTTGTAAACATAACGTAAATATACTGAGAGGCCAAAGTTAATATATATATATATATATATATATATATATATATATATATATATATATATATTTAAATCTCAATTAATATTAAATTTACCTCATATAATCCATATAAAAGGTGACAGATGGAAATTAAACAGATGAGAAACAGCATCTTCCTGATAACAAATAAAAATAAAAAAGCTACGGTTACCAACCGCCCTAACAAGCGTGGCAACTGGCAATGGGATATATGGGGCAATGTATAGGGGAGACCTTTGTTGTGCAGTGACTTTGATAGGCTATTATGATTTATGATGATGATGATGTTGTTGTTGTTGTTGTTGTTGTTGTTGACGACGACGACGATGATGATGATGATGATGATGATAATGATTATGTGGTGGTTGCGGTGGTGGTGGTGGTGGTGGTGGTCGCGGCGACAGTTGCGGTGATGATGGTGGTGATAATGATGGTGGTGATAATGATGATGATGACGATGAATCGATGTAGGGAGCAATATTGATGAAAGTAGATATATAGTAATATTCACCAGAACCAAAAAACTTCTTCAAAATTAAAAAATACATAATTTCTGAACTATTCGGGATGATGTTACCATATTTAGAACAAGCTTTTTCGACAACAGGCCCTACTGTGCAAAAAAAATTATTCAAAGAAGAATGGCATACTTTCATACATAAAACTAGTCGAGAAGGAATGGTAGCGTCTATATATCAAAAATATCTTAAAATGTTAAGCGTCAGCCCCTTAACAACTCTGTCAAAGAATTTTGTCCTGAGAAGGCGTTAAAAAAAGATATTTAGATTTGAACCTTTTTAGGTTGTCTTATGTCACTTGGAAAGTCATGCGTCCTGTGGTTGTTTGATGTTAGCGTAATACATTCTCAACATAATGTACCTACCTACATAATTGAGAGTTTTTGGATTATTGTATCTCTATTATATATTTGCATACTATAAATGTATATTTCTGGCATGGCTCCAGGGCCTTTGTGTCATACAGTGACATTCTCAGAAGAGATAGAACCCAGAGCCGTAAAGCCAGTAAAAAACAATGACATTTAGCTTTGCATCTGCGCAGGACAGGACTATAGTGCACGAGTGTGCGCAAACACAATTGTACTCTCTATTCCATCACTCTCATAGTCATATGGGACAATAAACCAACACGACCGAAGAGAGATCAGACGCAGGACCAACGGCTTTATTGCTTTCCGAGGCGTGGAATGAAACACCGCCAACATCCTAAGGTACTAAGAATTACTTGACAGAAAAGAAAACCATTAACTGATTTTGGTCCGACAAAGGATTCCAACCCAGGATTACACGATCAGTAATCGTGCTTACGACCACTCGTCCAACGAGACGGTCAGTAGTAAGTCACAGGCAAAGTAATCTATGGTTGTAATAAAATACAGTAAACTATAAAAAATAACTATAATGGACATTTCAGTCATCGATACAATATTTTAAAGGCCCAATATGAAAACAAATTGAATAAAAAAAGTTTTTTATATTAAAAAAACATTAAACAACTTTTTATTTATCCAATTATCGATAAATAAAATTAATGCATTTTTGCAAGCTTCTTCTATAGAAATCCCAGAGACGAGAATCCATTATCAGAATTGTCAAAGTTAAGAACACACATTAAATACGTTGGTTGTTCTCATTTAACCTATAATCTCAAGAATCATAAACCACAAAAACGCTGCAAGTGGCCTTGATTTTATTACGGCCTCAATAAGTGCACAGAGAAAAATGCAATCGTCTTTGCTATATGTAATAAATATCCAAAATGCCCCGATTTTGTGTAACATAGCTTTACTTTTAATCACATTTAAAAGTAAAGAAATAAAATACGGGCATTTTCAAATGGGTTGACTTTATTTCTATCGTAGACATAAGATTCGGTACAGGCAACGCAACTTTTTTTTCTGAATCTAATGGTTATAAAAAGTTTTTTCGGTATTTGGTCTAACCTATAGCAAGTTTGCTTCCCCACATCACTAAATTCAAATTTTGACATTGTAAAGTAAGGAGTTTAAACTGGAGACTGTCTCTGAATACCGGTCTAATAGTATGATAAATTAGACTAGAAAATGCACACGGCTTTGTGCATGAGGAATTTAGCTAAATAACATGCTAGCGAGGAAGGTTACTGTCAATCAAAATGATGTGATTTTGTGAGCTGTTTAACAAAATTGCCGCAACACCAGGTCGAAGAGCGGGTCGAGCGTGCAGCGGGTGCGGGCACGGGAGCGGGTGCTACTGAGTGAAGCGGAGCTGCAAGACTTGGGTGTGAACCGCTCCGTCGTTCCCGACTTTCATGTAACCTTCGCCTACGATCTCGCTCTTCCGAACACTCCCATAAATTTGGGTTCGAGCGATTCATCTGGAGCCTCCTATCTGACAGCAGCCAACGGCTTTCCGGTGCACGATACAAATATGCGTCCGCTGCCGACGAACTTTTGTTACGCTTCACTTTAGTCGATCTGTTGCAGCCGACGTAATCGGGCGTTTCGCTCCTCAGCATGAACGGCAATTTTGTATTGTTACGGTTAGGGCTGTTAGTAGCGAGTGCATGATATTGTACTTTACCAAGTGAAAAGTGGCCGCAGTCCACTGCAGGTGCGATATAAAGGCAGCCGCATGTAACAAAATAGAAAGGTTCAGCGTAACATTTGGCAACGAACTTCAGTATTAGATTAATAGTTCAGTCAATTTACATTATTAGCTTATTTACTTATTCCTGGACGCAGCTTAAGAGAGCGACTTACAGTCTGCAAGTTATGTGCATACATAAGCTTGACATTTTTTTTGAACTACTTCTAAAATAATTTAATATTATAATAAAATGACTGAGATTCTCGGACTAACACTGTTCGAAATATTTCGCTGACTACGTCTATAGTCACTACGTAGCAGCTGCAAAATTACACACAACACTACACTAATAATATCTGAAGTATCAAAATTGTGTGTCATTTCATATCACTATAATGACTAGTTACTTTGTACTGTTAACAAAGAATAATAGGTTATATTTACCATTAGTACAACTAATTATAATAACAGATCTAACAAGAATAAATTAAAACATGCTTCAGCATCATGCATTAAGCAGTCAGGGAAAACGTCACAAACACCGACAATTATGTTATTACTTATTAGTAAGTAGTATACCGATGTGCAACACACACACATATATATGATATATATAATTAATTATATTTATATTTGTAACATTCATAGCACTAACGATATACTTTAACAACAATATATTATTATGAGGCGCTACTTTATAAAAAATGGTTATATTTGGTATTATTTACGAGACAACAGATCGTTCACTCTAATAACCAACTGATAATACGGTTTCTTGACTTCGCGTGTCTTCTCCGTGTCGACTCGAATATCTCCAGGGGTATATTGGGTACTGCATAATAATTAAAGCTTTGTTAGTAGAAACCTTTTATATTGCGTTACGTGCTTATAAAAATATAACGTAATAAGAGATACCATTATTTCAAAATGGTAATAATATTGTATCGGTATACTTTGAGACATCAACCGCAATTATTTCAAAATAACAAAAGAGCATTTGGCACGGCAAATTATTTTTTATAATTATGTTATATATGTATGGATAATATGTATGTAATTCCAATAATATTTTGTCAACTGTTTCAAATGTTTAAGCTTCCTTACACAATAGCCGAAATCAAAATAATCACAGCTCCACAAAAATATCACACTTACAAAATGAAAAACGTAGGAGCAAAACGAGCACAAACATGGTATTACAATGTTAAAGATGTGGGGTAGTTGGAGAAAAGTTAGTGTATCTATTTAGATTACTAAAGGTATAACACTCACCGGAACTAACGGCGTTTCTACACCGCGCCGAAGTACAATATGCTTCGATAACCTTCAAAATAAGGGCGTCTTCCTCGTAGGAGTTAGATTTTCGTTGGTGTGGTGCGTAAGGATGCGTGGGCCCGATGTTTTCGTCTGAGCCGACCGTGAATGATTGTGGTCTCAGTGGTGGTGCGGGGCGTAAACATGTTATGCTCCACCCTTAACAAATGAAAAGGTTAAATAAAACTAATTTTACGAATTTTATCGCGTTTGATTTTTACTTATTTTTAATTCGTCGGGTCGTTTCTGGTAGTAAACAAAACAAATCAATACATTAATTAAAATAAAATGTTTCGCCATCTTAAGATAATGCAATTTTCGTTGTTGTTGCCATGTTTTTTTTTCATTCATTAATTACAGAGATTGCCCCATAAAAAGTATATTTGCCTTTTTGCCAGTCATCAGGAGGATGATTGATGAAAAATCATCAGCAGCATACACACATGATTTTCGACGTTCAGGTATCGCGACATGTAGTGACGGTGTAAGAATATTCATTCATCATCATCATCATCATCATTATTACAGCCCTTCACATGTCCACTGCTGAACATAGGCTTCCCCTAAGGCATGCCACAAAGCACGGTCCTAAACCACCTGCATCCATCGACTTCTTGCATGTCTTACCAGGTCGCCCTACACTTCGCCTACCGGTACGAGGCTGCCACTCGAGAACCTTTTTTTCCCATCGGTTGTCGTTTCTTCGAGCTATATGGTCGGCCCATTGCCACTTCAGCTTACTAATCCATTGGGCTATGTCGGTTACTTTGGTTCTACTGCGGATATCCTTACTTCTAAGTTTATCACGCAGAGAAACCCCGAGCGTAGCCCTCTCCATAACTCCCTGAGCGATCTTGAGCGTCCTCATACGACCAGCAGTGAAGGACCACGTCTCAGTCATCACTGGCAACCAGGGCCAGATTTACCCACAGGCTAACCTAAACTAACCAAGGATGACGGTGTAATATTCTCAATAAATGATGAATGATAGTACCTAAATTCCGCAAGTATTTTACTTGTTGTACTTCCTTTATTTTTGGTACAAAACAAATAAGTAGATTGTAAAAATAAGAATTAGCTAACTTTCGTCTTTCGTTGACTGACTAGACGTGATTCAAAAATTCAAATTACACAAGCTCTCTTCTCTATTTATAGTTTAGCTTATGAAGGTGTTTTGCCAAGGCTGTCCAAGATAACTTCTGTCAGCCATCTGTTCCATCTCTGCACAGGGAGAACGACTCACTTTCCATGCCGTAAAGGAGAAAGTCGATCTTTTAAGTTCTCTTTTTGAGTCCAACTTGACTCTCGATGACTGGGATACACACCGCTCACCATCCCACGGTGTCTTTGTTCCATGCTGGATTCGCGGTTCACACAACGCTTAGTATGCAAAGCACTCCTCTACCTGGACATCAACAAGTAGAGTGGGCTTGATGGAGTCGCTTCTATTGTGCTAAAGACGAGTGATCTGGGGTTAGTACCGATTCTAACGCGTCTTTTCCGGTACTCTTACTCCCTAGGAGTAATCCTGAATGAATGGAAGACAGCTTTAGCGCATCCAATTCTTAAAAAGTCGATCGATCAGACCCGTCCAACTATAACTTATCGCCATCGTCTCGTTGTTCTCCAAGATAATTGAATCTATTATAAACTTCCAGTTCATAGCGAACCTTGAGGACTAATATGCAACTTCCAGCAAAGAGTAGCTTAAATCGACAACTAAGTTCTATCTTGATCGTCTTCACTGGCGCTACGAAGAGATGTTGCATTCCATTGCATTTTCTACGAGTATCACATTTTCCATGGGGAGTACTTAAAGTTGTTCGGATTAATTCCAGTCGCCAAATTCCACGCACCATTCACACCATCTGGATGCTTGGCGGTACACCATAACTGTGCGATTTACTAGAAGTTTTCTTCCTCGCAAGACTTCTTTGTTGACTGATACGACATACAGACCTTCAAGAATCGAGCTTACTACTTTTATGAAGGGCCGGCAACGTATCTACAATTTCCATGGTGTTGCAGTTTTTTATGGGCGGTGGTCGACATTTACTAATTTGATTTAATGTGAGCGAAACCGCATGGAGGAAAGCTAGTAAAATACAAAAATCTAGTATATATATTCGTGGGCTGAGCAGGCACAGACAGAACATGCCGGTGGGGGGCGCATATTCATAGTTAGCCTAAGGCTGTTGTTAACTCTAAATCAAGTACTGCTGACAACACACACTGGTTGTACAATCTCCTTTTCAGATTTTGAGGTATACTAGACGAGAAGATAGGTGTCGTAATTTCCCCAACACTGCCCAGCCGAATTGGATCCGTCGATTGACCCCTCGGTCGAAATTGGACTTACATAGTCGGACTATTTGTCCCAAGTAAACATACTCTTCAACAATTTCGAGCTTAGTGATCCCAACAACTACCGCCATAGGTGTGATATGGACATTAAACATGATCTCTGTTTTATCCATGTTCATCTTTAGACCTATCCGCTGGGAGACACTATTGAGGTCATTGAGCATAGTGCTTAGATTCTCCAGCGATTCTGCCATAAGGACTATATCGTCGGTAAATCGACGGTGACTGATGTACTCGCCATTCATATTAATACCGTATCCTTTCCAGTCCAGCAGCTTGAAAACGTCTTCCAATGCAGCGGTGAAGAGTTTCAGGGATATAACGTCACCCTGTCTTACACCTCTCTGCCGTTGGATAGGTTTCGTACTCTGATTCTGTACTCGGATAGCCATCGTAGCTCTACTGTACAAACACTTCAGCACTTCGGTATACCGATAGTCCATTTGGCACCGCCAAAGGGACTGCAGCACCGCCTAAATTTTGACAGAATCAAAGGACGAAATCATAGTCCATATATTTCTCTTGACTTATGGTGCTACAGCCTCTTCGGAAACCGGCTTGTTCGGGAGGCTGGAAGTCGTCGAGTCTGCGTGCGAGACGATTCGTAATGACTCTCGAAAACAGTACGTAAACGCGGCTTAGAAGGAAAATCGGTCTGTAGTTCTTCAAGAGAGCGTTGTCGCCTTTCTTGAAGAACAAGACCACCGCACTACTGCTCCATGCCCCCGGAGTAGTCCCACCATGGAGGACGGAATTAAAGAGCTTTTGAAGGACTTCAAGTACCAGTTTTCAGAAGCTCTGATGTAATTCCATCCTCACCTGTGGTCTTGCCGTTTTAAGGTGCTGGAGAGTCATTCTAATCTCGCTCAATTTGACGTTCGGGATATCATAGGAATAGTCGGATAAGACTCGCTCTTGAAGCCACACGCAAGTGTGAGTAACGATCCAAGAACTGTATAGACCCATAAAAGCTCTCAATCTCACTCAAAATCTCAGGTGTACCAGAAACGATGCTGCCACACTCGGTCTTCAGCTTTGACAGTTGGCTCTTTCTAGCAGACAGATCTCTGGCAAACACTGGAGTATTATTTCCGCTCGATCGCTTCTTCAATACAAGCTGTATGGAAGTTGCGTAAGTCCCGCCGCATGCATTTGGAGATCTGTCTGTTCAGTTGCCTGTATACTGTCAATCTGTTGAAGACTGCAAGCTTTATTTCCCGTCTAACAACCAAGAGACTAAGAGTGTGATCGGAGAATTTTTCTTCTTCTGCGGCGGGTCTTGCAGAGAGATTAGCTCCGACCGCATGGACTTCATTGCAGTCTTTTAGGCACTGAAAACGGTTTTGTAACTCTAGCTGAAAGGTTTCGGGACTTTGAATTAGCGCACGAGGGGGACGGAGCATTGACTTCATTAGACGAATCCTCTCCAACGTAACTTTTAGTTTCAGTGTTCCTCTAACCATTCGATGATCGCTCCATTTTCACCCTCGCGATCACTGAGACATCACTGAACAGTTGTCGTCTGGTCCTCATAATGAAGTCAATCTCATTTTTGTCGAACCGTCGGGGCTCTACCAGATCCACTTCCTGTGGGGCCGCGTCTGGAAGAAATGAGTTCATCATAAAGAGTCCCTCTTTCTCCATGAAGTCGACCAGCTACTGGCCCCTTGGGATCCATTGCCCTATTCCGAATTTCCCTACTTTCAGCTCACCGTTCTCTCCTGTGCCTAGCTTTGCGTTGAAGTCTCCCATTAACATTGTATAGTAGATTTTGGAGGAATGCATGTCTCAAGAGATATCCTCGAACATTTCCTCCACCTCATCGGGATGTGTCGAGGTTGGTGCGTAAGCCAGTATGACCTTCAACGAATACCGTTTTGGTGATTCTGAGTATAAGGTATGCAACCCTCGTCGACTCATTCACAATATTTTCAACGTTGTTAACGAGAGACTTGTGGACGATAAATCCGACACCTTCTTCACCAAGGAGGTGCCCTCCGGTGATAGAACAAGTTGCCGGATTCGAGCATTACCGTGTCCTCCCCCTCTCTTCAGACCTCAGATAATTCTTTAATATACCAGCGCAACTTGTCTATCTCTTCTTCCAGCTCCAAGATCTGCTCGTCAGTCCTCAGGGTACGTGCGTTATACATATGTTGCCAGGTCAAGTCGTCTTAATTGGCAACCGAACCTCCACCGGAGATTCTTAGCACCCTCTGCCCCGCTGTTACCATGATCGCAGCCGTAGCCAGGAATAGCGGGGCCGCCGGGGACTTGGGGCCGTTTCTTCGTAAATTTCATCATGGTGGGATATTTGCCATAGTTGCCACGCTTGGTGAGCCGGTTGACAACCGCAGTTTTTTATTGTACTATTGCTGTTATCAGGAAGATGCTGCTGCCCATCTCCTGCCTGTTTCCCACTGTCGCCTCTTACGACACTCACGGGAAGATAAAGAATATCCATTACCTCATATCATTCCGTAGGTATCGTAAGAGCCGATAGGGAAACAAACCAGGAGATATGCAGTACCATTTTCCTAATAACGATTAAAAATAACAAACTGCGATTGGAAACATGCTTGCCAAGCGTGGCAACTATGGCTAATAACCCCCTATGAGGTAATCTAAGAGAGAGGCCCATGTTCAGCAATCGACTTTAATTTGCTGTAACGGTTACAGTAACGGATTGCTCAAAAATAACAATTGCCAAAAACCGTTCGAAAACATCAATATCACATGAAACTAAAAATAATTCAAAATATAATATTTTAGTCATAATTACCTTTGTTTATATAAGCAGAGTCAGTTGTGTCAGTAAAGTCAACTGATGAAAATTTCTTTGCTATTGGAGTTTTATTAGATTTAACAGGTGATTGATCCAAAGAGTCACAGGAGTTCAAGAGCCAGCGACCAGATTGATTCTTGTGCTTGTTTTTTTGCGTTTGTTGCGTATGTTGTGTGTAACTTTGATGATTGTTAAATGAATGTGATCTTTTGTGGCTGCTAAGGCCTGATGATAATTCGTTATTGCTGTCGCTCATGGCCATCTGCAAAGTAGTGAGTCAATTAATTACATCAAATATACACAAATGTCAATATACTACAACACACAATTCAATTTCCTTCTAATAAAAATTACTGCATTTAGACTGTATTCACACAATTGTTCAAAGCATAGGGTTTTAATATAATGGGTTCCTGAACCAACATAGTTTTTGATGTTTCTGGCTTAAAAACACGAGCTAACTAATATCTAAGGTGAATTAAAATAATAAATTACCAAATCGCAAAACTATTACGTGGTCCCAGATCCATTGCAAAGTTTATCCACTTTTTGGATAATCTATATTAAAACTTAAAATACAAATAAAATTTTCTCACAAACGTAGGCCACAGTGTGTGGTTTCAAGCTTCCCATGCATTTTTTCGAGTTTGTTAGTGTATGACATCTACTTGCAGTGATTTTTAGTTAGTAAGATGAATAAACACAGGCAAGGATGATCGAGTAAAGCACTGCAATATTGGGGGCACTCTAGTGACAGCATTATTCTAGTGGTTACAGAACTGAAAACCGGTGATACACAAAAACAGTATTTCTTTACAAAAAAATAATCCTTGCCTGAGTCGGTGACCACGGTAATGGGTAATTTGGCTTTCATCCACCAGTGAGCATATAAATCGGAGCGGTACACGACAAAGCCTGTCTGAGCCTCCGTCAAAACTTTTTGGGATTTCATTAAATCCTCGCTCAACGATCTAGTCTTACGTACAGTGTCATCTTTTGACCGATTTTCTTTATTAAAAACATCGCAATTCCGTAACATATTTTCACGAGATGGTCTACTAGTGGTATTTTCATCTGGTTTTTCTCTATATATGCGCATATGATAATGTAAACTGGGCTTAGTGCGTTCAGTTATGTTCAACGTACTCCACTGGCAAGGGATGGGATGACGAACATTTTTTGGATGTTCCATATGAGTACTAGGCTTTCGGTAAATCCGTGGAGGTACTTCAGGTTTGATTTTTATTTCGGGTACATATCGTTCTATGTTTCTTCTTATAGAGGTACGTTTTATTTGAGAAGTTGATACTGGCGGATTACCGACAAAAGTAGATTTAACAAGTGTGTTGGAAGAGTCTATAACATCTACATTACTTTCAGATGTTACACTTGTCACACAGGACGTTCTTGCGGTAGAGCCAAACGGTGAGGTACACCTACATTGATCTTCAAACGCAGCCGCCTCGATTTCGGACAAAGTTAACTTTCGATGACCTGTATGGAAATTATCCTGCGTTCCATGACTTTTTGAATCGTGAGCTTGACTATCTGAATCGTTACTACCGCCACCGGTGCCTGTGTATTCATGCATGTTTAATTCGGGGGATGCCAAGTTGCAACTACCAGCAACTCCCGAATCAGATGATCGAGGACTTGGACAAAGAGATCTGTTACAACACTCACATTTCTTAGTTGCTTTACGTGTTTCGGATTGAGAACTCATTCTTTGAAAGTGCAGATCGTTTTTCTTAATATTCTCCGTTTCAACCATTGATTTGGATACGGATCTGCGAATTTTTTTATCAGAATTCAATGAATGTTTTCGAAATGGTACATTAGTGTTAAGATTGACATTGATTACTTTTAAATCGTCATCATTATTCCGAAACATAGGTGGTGGCTCTATTATAATTGAGCCAACCAGACTCACACGATCATATTTCGGAGATGGCGGCTCTAAATCTTGCAGAAAAGTGCCAACGTCGTCAGAACGTTCTGCTTCTTCACGTAGATAATTCTCCTCAGTAGATTTCCACAACTTTTGACCACATTCATTTTTAACACTGCAGTGTGGAAAACTACGTCTTGTAGGAATGAAATCAGATGCATCGTTTATGAGAGTTCCAATTTGTCTATTTTGATCTATATTAACTAAATCTTCGCAAGCCATATAAGATCTCACATCGTAATTAGAATTTTCGTTATTATCGGAATGTTGGAAATGCGGATGGAGATCATTGCTATGAAATCCGGGAGGAATTTGTGTATCCATTTTCGGTAGAAATATGTCTTTAGTACAGTCACCCTTAACATATGGCTGTGTTATGTCCAGATGCATGTCTGTGGATGCATCAAAGCAACGCACATAGCCAAAGTTATTGTCCCAGCTGCTACATGAAGATGATATTGTTCGTGGACTAGAAGAATCCAGCGCGTTTTGGCGCGTTATTTTGGAGGAATCATTAATTTCAGCATCTGTGCAACTTGAATTTGAATATGTCTCCGTTGTATCCATCTCTCTGTCACTGTCTTCCGAATTCCTATCACTGTCAGAACAGTAAGTTTCAGTGCCTATTGTCCCATCATTCTCAATTCTTAATCTTATATGATTTTTGTGCCTCCGTCTTACTGGTAATCCTGACAACTCAAATGCTTTGGCCCAAGTTCTCTCATGTAGCAATCGCCGCAACATTTGTCGTGTGATAACCTTTTTTTTAACTAAACGTGCAAAATACTTCGTTAGGGAATAATACGGCGACGCAGAGGGATAGCTAGGCGGCGGCAATGTCACATGATACAGACTGCGGCGACTGGTATTGAGGCTAGACAATGCCCCTTCGGAAGGAGATCGGGTCAGCTATGTAAGAAATTATAAAATATATTGCAGTATACAAAAGGAAATACTATATTTTATGGAAAAGGGATAAAATTCTCAATATTAATTTAATAAAAATATGTGATACTTACATGCGGCAACGACTGTGGTTGACCAGGTTCATGAGAAGGGCTGCTTGTGTTAGAATGTTTTTGCAATAAGCTAACCCAGTTGTCCGCTTCAGCCCTAGTCTGACATACTGCTACTATTGTATCTATCATGGGTCCACTTATTTCAAATGCATTTTTTCTAGAGTCTGTATCATCTAATTTGCAGACCGTTATACCTGTTAATGGAAGGCATCCCTAAAACAAATAACAGTTTATTTGTAACAAACAGACAAGCAAACTATTTATACAATTACCTATAAACTAATTTACCCCTCACACTTATTTTCTGTCGACTTCCAAAAAGGAGTCAATTCGACTGTATGTTTTTTATTTATGTATGTTACCTCATAACTTTTTACTGGGTGAACCGATTTCGAAGATTCTTTTTTTATTTGAAAGCTGATACTTCTCGTGTGGTCAATGTAATTTGATCAAGGTCAGACCAATAGTTTTTGAGTTATTCTTAATAACTTATATTAAAGTCGGCTGTACAAAATTTTTAATTTTAAATTATATATTCGATTAGACCAGTTATATCAACTCAATCTAGGAATGTTTTAGTTATTCATGTATTGAAAAGAAACTACTACCCGTGCGGTTAAAGAATGGGATTGAAATAGGGTCGCCTCTATTCACCTCTCGCCCGCACACTGTCGCTATCTATACTCACACCCGCCGATAAAGGCTACAAAAAGTAGATAGATAGATAACTTTTTATTGCATTTGAACAAAGTGGTTACAATTACGGAAAACTTATGAACTACAAACGGTGGTCATATAGCATTAAGCGATTTCTACCTGACAAACGTAAGAGGACATTGTAATTTTATATTTTGATTGATAGGTGCAACGTGTAATATAAAATAAACCGAGGAAAAAATATAGAAAATAAAAAAATATAAATATATGAATAATATAATATACAGAATGTCCCAAAAGTCGACGTCAAGCCGGAATTGGATGATAGGACAAACCATAATAGTTAATAGAAAAATATAAAAAAAGATCTTAGTCATGTATTCTTTAAATTACAGTAATAACCAAGAATAAAAAAATAATACTTCGCCCAACTTTAACTGACTGTACTGAAAAAAAAATGAACTACGCCAGTTTAGCAAGTAACCTTAAAAGTTGACGCATTTAATAAGGATTCTAAAATAATATAGCACTTGCTACATTATTTCTTAGATTACAGGGGAATTTTTTTTTCTCCCAGTTTAAAAAAGTCTTTTTATCTACTAAAAAAACCGCCCAAGTGCGAGTCGGACTCGCGCACCGAGGGTTCCGAACAAATCTGTAGGTATATAAGTTTAAAATTATTAAAAATATTTTTTATATATGATGTAACTAAAAATTTATACTTTTCGCAATTTTTCCTTTATCTGTGCTATAATACGTTGCTTCGTACCAAATTTTAAGATTCTGAGTTCACATGAAGTACCCTGTAGGTTTTGATTCCCTTGCGAATGTCGAAATGTGCGGCATAAACGGGTGTATCTTTTGATTGCGTTGGCTTAGAAGTTTGATTTTTTCACAGCTCCATGTGACAGTAGACTTGAGTATTTGATATGAATTTCAGCTAGATACCTCCACGTGTTTCTGAGAAAAAGGGTCTTGACAGACAGACAGACGAACAACAAAGTGATCCTTTAAGAGTTCCGCTTTTCCTTTTGAGGTACGGAACCCTAAAAATAATTTTATTGTCCCCCGCGCGCGTCTCTTCGCTCACCGCTCGGTCGCTCGACGCGTGGGCGAAGTAAAGTTTTGTTTGCGACCGTTAGTTGGTTGGGCACGGACCGTGTGGTTAATTGTGCGCGTACGCCGAGTCGATAAGACTCTGTCTGGAGGATTGTCGCGCGACGGCCGGTCGCGTGCCCCTCATTGTCTAATTTATACGTTTCGTGACAAGGGGCTTGTATTACGTTTTGAGAGATTAATTCAAATTCGATTGTCATGAATCGGTGTCGAAGAGACGGCCTGGAAATTTGCGCTCGGAATACCCTCCAATAGCGATGTCTAATCTCGTACGTTTTACGTGGCAACGAGGCTAGTCGTGCTTTGTGACATTTTAATATCCTGTGAAGGAATTTTGCTTTGTCATGTGGAACGCTGAACCTTGTGACTCGAGAAGAGATCGCGATTGTGCTCGATAATAACTTGTTGCTGAGTGAACATGGAATATTGAACTTTGACCGACCGTTCTTAAGTTGTGCCGTGTGCCACTTATTTCAATTTCGGTTAACGTGGATTTAGTTAAATATGAAGTTAATTAAATGGATAATAAAGTTGATAAACTACTACAGTGAAATAAAAGTTGAAAGTTTCAATTGGTGAACGCCCACTGGAGTGATCGCACATTGTGGAGAAAAGCAGCGCCTGTGGGTCTGTTCTCGGATTGCATCGGACGTCAGGATACATTTACACACTTTCACACACCACTTTACATCCACTTACTTACCACCTGACGGTGCCCTGTGGTCGACCCTACCTCCGGAACTCGGTAAGTTTTGTTTGCTTGTCAGCCGTTTTATAATAATAATCCATAGGCCATTGGGCCCGAACTCTCTGGTTGCTCGTCGAGTGTATTACTGATGGGCCCTAATACAGTCGACTTCTGTCCGGGCAACTGAGAGCCGCAACAGTGACGCTTTCGATTCAGATGCTAATGGGTGAGTGAGACAGATAGTGACGCTTTCGATTCAGATGCTAATGGGTGAGTGAGATAGATAGTGACGCTAATGTGTCAAATACCAAGAAAGTCATTTTATGAGGTGCGAGCGAGACAGATAGTGACGCCACTTTTTTAGTGTTGGCACATGCAATGTAGATCAGTACGTTACGCTCCTTCGTTTACTACGCATCTTTCCGTATTCGTTCGTGTTATTTCGTACTTACCGACTTTTTGCTTCGCTTATTGGACTTGTTTGCTTGTGATTTGGATTTGGACAGTTTCGATCTTTTAACGACAACCTTGGCTTTCTCCTGGACTATAGTGTAATTGTGTAGTGCCAACATGTCTGTGTACACCATACAGGAATATGCAAACATGCACTACATTTATGGGGAATGTAGAGGCAATGCTAGTCTAGCGGCTAGACTATATATCGCGAGAGATACCAAAATGCTGATCGCTATGCAGTTTTTACAAGTGTGTACCGTCTACTCTTTACTGAGGGTAGACTTCCAAGCCAAGTACACGGTGAAAGAAGAAGTTCATTACCTTTGGACTACAAGCAGTTGAAGACGACTCAAGTACTTCGGTACGAGCAATTCAGGAAAGCACAGGAGTGCCCAAAAGTACAGCTTACCGAATTTTATAAAAGATGAGTTACACACATACCATGTACAGAGAGTACAATCCCTGCTACCTCAAGGTTATCAACATTGGGTTGCGTTTTGCCAAACGATGAAACAAAGACACCGCGAAGACCCGCGATTCTTAGAAAAAATTATGTGGACGGATGAATCGACGTTAAAAAAAGACGGTTACATGAACCTATATAATTTACACGAATGGCACGTAGAGAACCCGAATTTAATGAGACAAGACAGATCTCAATATCGTTTTAAAATAAACATGTGGACTGGAATTTTAAACGGAAGAGTCATAGGACCTTTTGAGTTGCCAGAGGTCTTGAATGCTCAAATTTATTTAGATTTTTTACAAAACTATTTACCTAATTTACTTGAAGACGTGCCACTAAGTATTTACAGAGATGTGGTATCAGCAAGATGGCTGCCCAGCTCACTATGCCCGCTCCGTGACACAATATCTCAATGAAGAATATCCGGGCAGATGACTAGGGCGGTCTGGTACGATCCGTTACATTTTTTTTTTAATAGGGAGTAGTGTAAGAGAAAGTTTATTTAAAGCCAATTGAAAATTTAGTTGAGCTTCGGCAAAGAATTACGGAAGCAGCTGAATTTGTCAACAACGGAAGATTTGCCCGTCTGATAACACGGTTTTTTTTAAGAAGATGTCGAGCTTGTATTGCAGCAGAAGGAAAGTAATTTGAACACCTTTTGTAAAAAAATCTCAGCATCCAAATAATTGCTGTTTAATTTAAAACTTAAGGAAAATTTATCCTAAATTTAAGAAAAAGTATGACTCGAATGCGTCACTATCTATCTCGCTCACACTTCATGGATTGATTCTTCCTCTCACTCAAATTAGAATCTTAGTTACTCTCTCTGGCAAGCTTTGGTTACACTAAAATCATTTTTAGTAGTTAAAAATAATTTTATCAAAACTTGGATTTATTTATTTATTCTTTATTGCACCAAATATTTGTACAAAAGGCGAGCTTAATGCTATATGGAGTTCTCTACCAGAGCTAACCTTGGGTAGAACAGAGAGTGAGTTTAGGCAGTTAAGTTGTCATGATATAATTCAGTTCATATATATACATGCAACACATACATAAAATATATATAATTCAAATACATATATAAATAAATACACACATTTATACAAATTTCTTTTCTACGTGGTAGAGCCATGCTGCAGCTATATTATGGTTGTAGCACGAATGGGTCGGCTCGAACGGGTAGGACCACGCTCTCACAGAAAACCAGCGTAAATTGGCAGCTTAACACTGCTGTGTTTCGTATGGTAAGTGTAGAGAACCGGAGACCCTTTTTACTGGCAAAGAGGTATTCCATCTTAGTCCTCACGGGTGACAACGCATCTGCATCGTGAGTCTTTATTGAGGATAGATGTAGATGTCTATGGGTCACAGTAACCACTTACCATCAGGTGGACTGTGTGCTCGTTTGTCACCCGATCCTATAAATATATATATATATATATATATATATATATATATATATATATATATATATATATATATATATATATATATCTCAATAAATGTATATATAAATAACTATAAACATATAAAATAAGTTGACTCAACTTTGTAGGCTACGGATATGCTCATATAGTTTTCTTTTAAAAACATTTTTGGCAGGTATTGTTCGCAGGTCAACAGATTCTTGAAGAAAAAAAATTTTCTCCTGTAATCTAAGAAATAATGTAGCAAGTGCCATACCATTTTTAGTAGATAAAAAGTTTTTTTTAAACTGGGATTCTTGTAGAATAATTTTTTGCCCTGTAATCTAAAAAACAATGTAGCAAGTGCCATACTATTTTAGAATCCTTATTAAATGCGTCAACTTTTAAGGTTACTTGTTAA